TCCCCCGCCGTGGACGCGGAATTTTTAAAGCAGCTGCTGGAACTTCGCAAGCTGTTCTTCCCCAAGCTGGTGAGCGCCGAGCTGGGCTTGCTCTGCCTCCACTCGGTCGCTCTGGTTTCCAGGACCTTCCTCTCCATCTATGTGGCCGCCCTCGATGGGAAGATTGTGAAAAGCATCGTGGAAAAACAACCCAGGAGCTTTGTCTTCAAGTTAATCAAATGGCTGATGATTGCGATCCCGGCCACTTTCGTGAACAGCACCATACGGTACCTGGAGTGCAAGCTGGCCCTTGCCTTCCGCACGCGCCTGGTGGATCATGCCTACGAGACCTACTTTGCCAACCAGACTTACTACCGAGTGATAAGCATGGATGGGCGGCTGGCCAACCCTGACCAGTCCCTCACTGAGGACATCATGATGTTCTCACAGTCCGTGGCACATCTCTACTCCAACCTCACCAAGCCCATCCTGGATGTCGTGCTCACCTCCTACACCCTCATCCGCACGGCGCGGTCCCGAGGGGCTAACCCCATCGGGCCCACGGTCCTGGCTGGGCTCGTCGTCTACGCCACGGCCCGCGTGCTCAAAGCCTGCTCGCCCAAGTTTGGCAAGCTGGTGGCTGAGGAGGCTCACAAGAAGGGCTATCTGCGCTTCATGCATTCACGCATCATCGCCAATGTGGAAGAGATTGCCTTTTACCGAGGGCACAAGGTAAGGAGGAGGGAAATTGGAGGATGTTGGGGTCGATTCTGCCGTGCCGGAGCTGACCTGCCCTTCCCCTCCTGCCCTCCCCAGGCACTTTGGTTCCCTCTGACATTTAAACCTGTTTACAGCCAGCACTTCCCGTTTCTTAGGAAAATGCTGTTGCACAGGCGGTATCTGGGGGAGTGGACCGTAGTTCCCTTGTGCTCTGACCATGTTCCTGTTTTGCAGCTGGATCCTATGCTTTTCTAGAAAGCTAATCTCTGGTATTGTTTTCCCCCACCCAGTCCATTCCGCTTCACTTTTCCAGGCTTTTTTTTTTTTTTTTTTTTACCACCAATACATGTTTATGAACTACCAGATTTAACGCTGCAGAATAGCAGCCAAGGCACACCAGAGAGTCTAGGGGGAAAACTGTGATAGCACAGGGAGCACCACAACCTTTGGCACTCTTTTACATAGCTAAGCAAAGATGTAGTCATCAGGGTCTTAAAATAGCTTAAGTACAGTACTTCAGCAGTCACAGTTACATAAACTAATGGCTTGTTTTAAAGCCACCTTACTAAGGAACTCTTCATATTTTTATTAGATTTGAATTTTGGCTGTAACACCTTTCAAACATGATTTGTAAAAAGAAGTTGTTTCATGTTAGGTGAAAATGAAAGCTGGAAACCAGCCTGAAGTATTTTTTCAGTATTACTCTCTCAGTCCAAGCAACGGTTATATAATGTCAATGGTTTATTTTGGTAGAAGCAATCGTTCTCAAAAGCTGCCTATAGTAATGTTTTAAATGTTTAAGGTAAACATTTTTTTTTTTTTCAGTTCCCAAATATATTGGCTTGAACTGAACGCATTGTATCATGCAGGCTTGCAACCGTCTTTGACTTGTTAAAGCTCTTGGGATAGTTCTGTCTTCCTCCAGACTGCTTACAAAAACACGCAGCATTGCATGTCAGGGATCAGCGCTGCAGCTTTGAGTCATTGGAGATAGCTGATCCCCAAATGCTTTCCAAAATGGGGTGAAATTCTACAGGTTCAGTTTTATTAAAAGGATGTGGAATCAATCTTATTTTGGTTGTTAGAATCAGCTGTTGTGACTGCCTTGTGTGTTGTTCTTGTATATATCAGAGATCTTAAAGGAGCCAAAAACTTGCCAATGTGCTATTGAGGGATGGTGGCGTAAATAAGAGCCAGGTTCATGGACATCCATAAAGCTGTGCACTTTTGCTGTGAGACTGCAGCACTGTGAAAATAAAGTACCATGCAGCAGATGTGACTCAGAAGTCACAGTTCTGGAGACCTGATTATTTCGTGCGTGTATGTGAATGTATCTTGTGTTTTATTTTTTAACTGTAGGTAGAAATGAAGCAACTTCAGAAAAGCTACAAGGCTTTGACAGATCAAATGAATCTCATTTTGTCCAAACGTTTATGGTACATCATGATAGAGCAGTTCCTGATGAAGTATGTCTGGAGTAGCTGTGGTATGGTTATGGTCGCTGTGCCCATCATCACCGCAACAGGATTTGCTGATGGTGGTAATACCATTTTTTATGTAATTTCTAAGTGTTCATTTGAAGTTACATGCTCAAATAACTGTGCTTTCCCTGAATGCCATTCATATGTGTTTGTTATTCACAGAGTTTATTACAATGTCTGTGTCTTGTGCATAGCTTTCAAGCATAGCAAGTCAGCTGAGGAAAGAGCAATGCAAAAGCTCCAGCTTTGAACATAAGCCTGATAAACAGCATGAATTCAGGACTTGGAAGATCCTTAGGTCGCAGGAGATTATAAAGATAAATGTACTTCTTTTTCACTAGACACTCTTGGGATGTCAAACTGATTTTTGGAGCATCTCCCTCTACTTTACAAAATGATACTATTTCCTAGAGTGCTTTTCTCCTCCTTCCGTAAACTATAGTGTAATTATAGTTAATTATTCTCTTACATGTTGATCTGTTAGGAACCACTGTTTTTCCTTGGCTCCCTGGGAGAAGGGAAGGTGAAATTCAGATTCCAGGCTTGGATGATATAATTTTTGACATACTGACATGCGATGAGAGTCAAGTAGTGTCAATATTACAGATGTTAGTTAGGGAATTAAGGAAGGAGAGGTGGTGAAAGACAAGTGGGGATGTTTGCCTCAACAGGCTTCCTTATGTGCAGTTGTTGACCAAACTTGGTTTGACCTGTAGGATGACTCTGTGCAGCCCCCATGTACTTCAGCTCACTTGCAGTTGTGTTGGCACATGGCTGGGTGTGCAGCGGTCTGAGCCGCTGTGCATCACGTGGCTCAGCAGGGTGCTGTGTCAGGAGCCTGACTGCTATCCCAGTAACACCTTCAAAATATCAGGAAGTCCTATTCCAAACAGAAGAGCTTGTACAAAGCCATTTCATCTCACAGTGAAAGTTATCAGCACAACAAAAAAAGTGATGCATCTTTCTGCTAAGATGGGAATGAGCACAGTCAAGAAAAGGATTCTTTAACCACACATTGTAAATATTTCCTTGGTATCACAGCACGGATAAAGAGAAGACTCGTATTCGTGCTAAACTAAAAAAAATCCCTGTCACTCATGAGTATTCTTTAAAAAGATACTTTTCAAATGTGGGAGAATAGAAAGACACAGCAATGGCTCATATTGTAAAACAGAATAATATTTACCACCAGCAACCTCAAGTGTTAAAGTGTAAGGCTTATTATGGAGGCCTGAGGCATTGCTTAATGGTGGATCACAAACATAGTATGACAAATCAACAGTGTCAAGACCAGTTCAAGGTATAACAGGTATTCAAAGAATCAAGCAGACCTGAACTTACCATTGAGCTGCTTGGGAAAACAGCTCTTTGTGCCTCAGCAGGTCAGATGCAATTTTGTTTGTATCTAGGGAAAGAATCTATTACTTTCAGATAAATCACCAGAATCAGGGATGTGCACAAAGCTGGTACTGTGACCAGACTTGAGACTAAAGCTGTGAAGCAATACATATTATACACTTCTTCAGGGGAGAAAAAAAAAAAACCAACAATAAAAACCCCCAACCCTGCAATAAAAAGTCTTCTTTGACATTAATTTCTTCCACTAAATTAGATAATTCTGTTATGTGTTTCAGGGAAGAAATTAGCTGTCAAACCCAAGATTCCCATTTGATAACATTTCTCATTCTTTTTGTTTTAAACTATTGATGTTCCACATGTCACGTCTCTCATCAGTTTGTGGAAAGCTATTTTTGGAAGCAAGACTTCAGTTTCTGTAGACAAAGTGAACACTTATCTTTGTTTATAAAACAAGTATGACTATCAATTACAGAAATGAAGAGGAAAAGGGAAATGTTACATTCTGTATGAAACAGAGACAGTCTGTCTGCCCTGTTAAAACCCACTACTTCTTCAAACACAAGAAGGCCAGTCATATGAAAAATGTTTGGGGTGAAAGTTGAAGAAAAGTAATCTTGGTGAGTTAGGCATATTTTGTTAGTTAGTTAGTTGTATTTTGGAACAGTGAAATCTTATAAATCCTATGTAATTTTAATTTTTCAAATACCCATAAAATGACTGACAGAGTGGTCTGTAGAGATGTCTAAGCTCTTGCTAGATGAGCTAGCCTGGGTGCTGGAAGCAGCCGTCTGTGAATGCTGCACTTACACACAGGAGGAATGCTGCATGTATGTAGTTAAACCATACCTGATTCTTAAACAATTTGATTGTGGTGGTTCTATGTAGCATGAGCTGCACAAGCTATAATCCCACCAAGATGAGCAAACGTGTGAAGAAACAGATTTCAGTTTAGTTTTTACTAATGAATTAACTGAATTCTCCCTCTCCCCTAAGTTTCTTCTTCTTGGAGTGGAAATGACTTTTTAAAATAGGTGAGAATTACATCAGCAAGAACCCCTTTGCAAGAGGTTTTGTGTCTTCTTTTTTAAAAGGCATGCCTCTCATGTCTCAGGTGACTAGATTACATACAACTAGCTGACAGTGCACTGATGTTGTATAATTTAAGGTAAAAGATTTGAACATGTATCTGAAATAAAATTGTTATGAAGAACACCTGAGGCCAGAAGCAGCAACATGTAGATGGTGTGTGTTTATGTATATATATGCAAAATTATGATGTGAGAATTTTAAGAATGTTTTTCCTGGATTATCCATAGAGTGTTTCTGTGATTCAGATGTAATTATGTGAGGATACCTTTATGGATGTGTAAATGAAAACAAAATAACATTTAGATTTAGCTGACAAAGACAGAACAATAGATCTGGCATTGGTATTCTGTGTAGATTTCTAGACACTACATTTCTGGCATTTGATATTGTCAGGGAGATGAGACAGTTAAAAGTAAAAACCTATTGTTTGTGTTGCTCTTGCATTGCTTGACCTTGCCCATAAAATTTACAGTCACATTACACTTGCAGGGAACTCCTTCTAGATTTTCTTGACCATCAGCACTGTGCAAACATCACAGAGGATGTTAATAATTGTTAACACAGGAATTGCCACACTGAATCCAGCTGTTACCTTGCCTAGCCTGATGCCTAGCAGCAGTTTAGCTTAAAAAAGAAACCTTAAAAAAACAATTTACAAACTTAAGAAGAGAAAATAATATCCAGACCCCGTTATACAAAAGTCTTAAGTAATATATAAAGATATATATGTAAAATATGTGATGCAGAAACCCCCTGAGACCTTTCATTCTGGATCTTGTACATAAGAAATCTTGAAGAGTGATTTGCAACACATTATCTTCTTTTCTGTAGATGCAACTATTAACACTGAAACAACATTCAATCTTAAAATATTCAGCCACTTCTTTTTAAATCTTGATTCCTTCAGGAAGCAAAATGTGCCAAGTTGGCTGTGCTGTATAAATCTGAAGGTCACATAGTAGCAAGGGTATATGTAGATATGTTAAATGTAAACATATTTGTTTCTCATGTATCTTCTATCATTTCTGCTGCTGTTTTCTCCTTGCCTGATGATGCTAACATGTTCTTATGAGACAATTCCTTTATTTGGAGAGTTTTCTTGCTAATAGGATGCAGGGTCATAAAGCATCACAACTTTGTTCTGGGGCAGATGAAGATAGAAACTGTCTTGTGAGAGAGAAGTATCCTACTTAAACCATGCCTTTGATAATAAAAAAGCTTATTGCTTTCTTATAGAAATGTAATCATGTTGCAAATTCTCCGTCAATATGAATGTTTCATTTTACCTAAAATTAGTGAGGCTGAAAATGTATAATTGTGAAAGTAGTAAAAGTTATATTAAAAATATGTTTTTTATGTTTTTAGATCATTTCTTAGGTTTCACTTTTTCATATTTTGAAAAAGTTTAGATTTAATAATGATGCAGTAAAAGGAAAATTATCTAGACAAATAACATAAAAGAACAGAGTGTTTTGCATAAGAAGAGGAATCCCATATACTCTCACTTATTCTTTGTTACCAAGCTATCTATGCTAGTTATAGTCACCAATTCTTTTTGAAAGGTTATCTTTGTAGAGTTAACTTTTTCTTAATTTAAAAGCTGCTCTATATGGCTCACATTCTGCTCATAATTCAATTTATGGAGATAATTTTCAGAAGAATATTTTAACAGAATTTTATTTTTACTTCTAGAGTTGGAAGATGGCCAGAAACAGGCCATGGTTAGTGAAAGAACAGAAGCTTTTACCACATCACGAAACTTGCTGATCTCTGGAGCAGATGCTATTGAAAGGATTATGTCTTCATACAAAGAGGTACTGTACATCTGTCACACATGAAACAGAAGAGGAAAAAAGAAAACCAGAATTTGCATTTAATATAAAATAAAAAAAAAAAAAGTGCCATTTTTAAAGGCAAATTGGATTGCAACTAGGTCCTGGAGATCTCTGAACTGATACTTTGATCTTTAGGGTTAAGTCCACAAAGAGTCTAAAGTACGCCACTATCAGTATGGTGCAACATTTAAATGTCATTTTTAATACCTCTGTTCAGATGCCATCAGAGAGCAATAGAAGTTCCTGGAATGTGATTGATAAAGGTTCAGATTCCTCCTCTGTTTGGAGAACAAACCTGAATTCAGGCTGTCTGCCTCCAATGGATTGGTACTTTTCTGTTGGAAGTGTCACAGATTCATAGAATGCTTTGGGGACCTTTAAAGGTCATTTGGTCCAACCCCCCTGCAGTGGGCAGGGACATCTGTAACTGGAGCAGGTTGCTCAGAGCCCTATCCAACCTAACCCTAAACGTTTCCAGGGATGGGGCATCTGCCACATCTCTGGGTGACCTGTTCCAGTCATGTTTTGTGTGGAACACAAAGAGAATCAAATACTTTTTTCCTGGCCACCTAAACTGTAAGGCCGTTTTCAGTATCTTGTGAACATGTTGAATTGTAAGTAATTTTGCAAAGTAATGAAATTTTACCAGGAAAAAGTTCACCTTAGGGCAGCAAATAGTCTAGAAGTACAGAATGTTTGTCTGGAAGATCAGAGATGTTGTTTCAGATCCTTACCCACATTCCAGTAAAGTTAGGCTTTCATCTGTGGTCTCTGTTAGGGTTTTCTCTAATGCTATCTGTTAAGAAAAAGTGAGGCAGTGCTGTTATTCTCCTCAACATTCCCTTCTGGACATTGCCTCTGCCTTTGTTAATTGGTTTCCACTTGTCCCTTAGTGGGGACCCCTTTTTCCCAGTGCAGCGTGAGGAGACACGCATTAGCCAGGCAGCTAATCAAAGACTATGGATTACTTGGAATCTAGCCATAATAGCTGCAGCTTTGTGAATTGGAGTAGGAGGGGTAGTTTGGCACTGTCAGATGTGAACTCTGACAAAGCCAAAGACTGTGCTTTTCTCAGAATGAGTTCTTCTAATAGACTGTGATTTTGACCTGTGCTCCTTAAGCTGTTCCCTTGCACGGCCTCAGCCCGAAAGATACTGCCAGATAACCTATTACACCTATTATTGGTTTAAATTCTACTGTACTTTCAACAAGTGATTAATTTATATAACGTACATGGGGACTTACAGACATTGTGAGTTTATTTTTTGGAAACAAAAATACCCACAAAGTAGTAGGAACAACTGAACAAGCTCATTTTGTTTATAACATGGTGAGATTTTAATCCAGACAGCATGAGGTCAAAGAGCAGTTCTATGAATTTCCATCTTAATTTTCCATTTATACTTGTCTTGAAGAGACGCTGTGGTACTTTAACCACATTGTTATTCCCATTTTGTGATTGAGACAGTTTCCAAAAGACAGTGTATTTCAATCCACTTCAAGTGGTAGTGAAGTTCCTGTTCTTGCCCACCTGATCCACCAAAGCAGGCCCCTTCTAGTCAGTGTAAGTTAGTGTGCAGATGAGGTGGGCTCAACTTTTCTTTGCAGGTCAATAGTTTAGATGATAGTATTTTGACAAAGCAAGTTTGTAGTTGTAGAAACTTCCTACAAGTTATGTTTCTTCTGGGGCATAATTTGCACAAATTTCATTCATGACGTGCAGGATTCTCTCCATCAAATGCCAATGCCAATACTGTGCAGAGCTCTCAGTCCTGGGACAAGCTTCCACTGAAAATACTGGAAAGACTCCAGGGTGGAGAATGATGTTAAAGCTCCTGTGTGCTACCTGCTGCCTCAAGTGGTGTTAGCCCAATACCTTGCAGAGCTGTTAATGCAATGCCAGTAGTGCAAAACAATGTACAGCTGATGCAGTTGAAACATTGAGTGATCATTCTTTTTAAACTGATTTTTTTTGAGATGTTGTATCCTTGTTAACCTTCAGTGGAGTGAAGACCATGTGGTCAGAACTAGTACTCACTTCTGAAGCTGGCACAAATAGTGACATTTAGGGAGGCTTTTATATTAGAATTTTGTAGGCCATAGCAGGTAAGCTCAATCATGGGGTGTGTGTCTTTAATGATTTTATAATCTCTAACTCATTTTCTTGCTATTCTTGTCTTTCTCTTTGCATTTAGTATAAAAATTTGTCTTTTAAAAAACTTGTCTAATACTACATTTATAATAAGATGCCTGGGTTTAATTCTTTGCTGCCAGCAGATGGAGGTGGTTCTTTGGGACTTCTTGTTGGTGTCACTGCCCACAAATAGAAAGTTATTAGGTCCAGAGATCTGTTGTTTCTGTCTTCACCAGGTGGAAATTGTGACAAAAGGATACCCCCCATTAAAAAAAAGAATGAAAGCCTTTTAAGAGACCTCATCATCTTGAGAATGCCCAATTACAATCCAAGGTCTCAGATTTAGCCCTGGTACTCTAGCAGGTAGTAGGCAGAAGAGTCATCAGAAGAGTAATTTCTTTTTTTGTACTGGATTTTATGTTAGGATGCCCTGGTGCTGCCTGGTTGACACAGAAAAGCACACTTTTCCCACAGGACATTTTGGGAATACAGAAAAGTAAACATAAATAATTATAGATGCCAATTTTTATCACTTCTGTGGACCTTTATTTTGCTGGCAAATGTAGAGATTTGTTTTTCTCTTGTATGATAGGCTCTCTCTTTTCAGATAAGCTAATAGTTAATCTCTGCTGATGGAAGACTCTACTGATCTGTGGAAAAGAGCAGTCTCTGCACCCTCCTCATTTACTGGAGCTATCATAGCTTACATTGGCTGAAATATGTCCCACTCAAACTGTCTCTGTCTGCTGGCTGGTAGGAGCTCTGGGTGGCATATGGATTAGCACAGAATCTCAAGGAACATAAACTGATAGGCATCAGAAGATTCATTGGTGGTCATTCCAGAATAACATTTGAGAAGCACTGACTCAGAATAGCTGGGGATGAATTTTTGGCCAAACAGTTAATTTACAGAATTTGTGAAGTATAACTGAAGTAATGCATTTGTTCTTTCTCAGGTTACTGAGCTAGCAGGCTACACTGCCCGTGTCTACAACATGTTTTCAGTATTTGATGAGGTGAAGAGAGGCATCTACAAAAGAACTGCTGTTATTCAAGGGTCTAAAAACAGCAAGAATGAAGATAAAGCAGAATTACACATCGATGGGCCCTTAGAAATCAAAGGTAATTAATTAATATTTGTACGTATTTCCTTCTGTGTGAAGCCAGTGCAGTGGGACAGGAGGTGACCAGAGGTTTTCTTTCTAGAACACACCAGCCTCTCAGCCTTCATACCCCAGAGACCATGTTGCCTTACACTTTAACCCACTGCTGTTTTGTAACTCTGTGCTTGTGCAGTGCTTTTCTGATATATAAAATTGCTCAAATATTATCTGCAAAAACCTTCAATGAAAAACGTATTTCAGCTATACCATATATAACTAAACTATATTTCAGCTGGTGGTGGTGTTATCATTATTCTTACAGGGACAGCACCTGCTTTCCTCAGGCACTGTTTTTATTTTTCAGAAAACTGAGACTGTAACGTTTTCATGAAAATACTGATTTGTTTTCAGCGACAAAAAAACCAGCCTGTGCTAGTTTTTTCATCATTTAGTAGGAATTTTCAACTGAAAATAGGCTGACAGCTTCCCCTCACCTCTCAAATGATCTGATCAATACATACTTTATCCCTCCTGTCCCTATTACGTATCTTTCTGGTGCCACTGTCTTTCTCCTTCCACACTCCTCAAAGCATTTTCTGCATACATCCATTTCATATCATGCTCCATTATGCACCACCTTTCTCTTGCATCCAGCTTCTCTCTGAGGTACTTAAAGGCAGCTTTTACAATGGGCTTTTCCCAATTTTCCCAACAGACCCCTTTGTCTTCTCCTCTCTCTCTCTTGTTGGAAAGCCTCATTCCCTCCCTTTGGCCTCTGCAAACTTTAGCCTTGGTAGAGTTGAAGGCACCAAAGTGTTCTTTATGAAGTGACTTCTGTCAACAGTTTCAGCAGTACTGCCCTTCAGCTCAGACTTCTCAAAGGTTCTCCATAACCTGACAAGGTTCTTCATAATGAACAATCTGATGCAGCAAGGTGGATTGCTGTGGACATAGCTGATGTCTTGCTTAATCTTATAGATTTTGGTAATGTTTGACTGACATTAAAAGAAATAGCATTTTATAACTACTGCGTTTTGTCATGTACAAGAGAAAAGGTATGTAGTTCTTGGAGTAAAAAAGCAATTTGGGGGCTCTTTGTAGATAACTGGTTTAAAAATGAAACTAAATACAGTTCAGATATGCAAGCATGCTGTTCATGGTCACTTTTGGTCTAGTATACTTATACCCTGCTTCTTTTTCCTTTGCAACCTTTTCCCAAGATTTTATTCTACTACCATCATGCATTTCATCCAGCCTGATTTCCTCCTAAGTCGTGGTGACTAGTGTTTGCTCCCAAGTGGTTGTAGGCTCTCAGAGGCAGCTAGCCAAGACCAAGCATTGTGCACAAGGACTTAAGTAGAATTTAGGCCAGATGAATCTAGGCCACAGGCTCCAGACTTTTTATGACAAGTCTCATTGTAATACTGTTTTTCCACATTTCTTTTGGTCTTGATACTTCAGAAATCCCTACAGAGCAGATTTGTGTGTGGATAAAAGTACACGTGCTCACATACGTATATGTGTCTGCATTGTTAGACAAGAAAAATCTTGATATTCAGCTTCCCTGAAGGCTCTCTGAACACATATCACTTATTTCCCTTTGAATCATCCAGTATAAGTTTATGTAACTAAGGGATGTTTGTTTTGTGCATTGCATTTACTGTTGTCAATAAAAGCATTGTGAAAATTTGAAAACTATTAGATATTTTTAACAGATAATAATATTACCTTATACACAATGTATCTAATAATTCAGAATTTTAAAGTTGAAATAGAATTTTGAACAACTTGTACAAATACTGTCAAATTGTATTTCTGATTACACATAAACATGCTTTAAAAGCATGGTAAAGTTCAATGAAACACTAAAGTTAGGAAATTAGAATTGTTTACTTAATACTTACTTAGCTTACTATTTTTTATCATAGGTCTATTTTAACTAGAATTTCTCCACTTTATCCAAGTAATACAGTAATATCCAAGAAGCCCAGATGTTTGGGATCTGTTAGAAAGCCCACTAACAGGCAATTGAGAAGTTACATTTGGGTTCCTGTTTTTTGCTGTTTCTAGAAGAATTAATTTGGAAGCTCCTCGGTTACAGAGTATCCAAATGTCTGGTTGTGACTGTATATTTCAGTTTTCTCAGAAATCCAAATAGTAAGTGTAGCTAGTGGAGCAAAACGTTATATGGGCTTCTGCAAGTACTTACAAGACACGTTTATAGTGTCTGTGGCTTCAAAAAGAGATGGAAATAAGCCATTAAATGTTTTCTCCTTTGCTCTTGTTGCTGGAGGAGACTGAACTGGGCTCCAAGTTTCAGAGCTGGTAGTGAAAGTAGGTTCCATTTTCTAATTAAATCCTCAAGAGAAAGCAAACTGGTCTGCTCTGTGGCTGGGGCTGTCCTTGAACTTTTTTACTGATTCGCAATGACCGTCTATTTAAAACATGCCTTTTCAGTGCATTAAACATTTGTGTTGCATACTGTGCGTTGTATTTATGATCCAGTTTAGGATTCATTGCACACTCTTGGCTGCTGCTGACTAGGTAAGATTTGTTATCCAGATTTTCCACTAGGGGAACCTGGAGCACATAAAAGAGTTGTTTGAAACTCAACAGTTTGTACTTCTCAGCCCTGCACAGAGACTGTCACATACCATTGCTCAATGGAAGGTTTTACAAACTCTAATTACTTTTTTTTTTTTCTTTTTAGGGAAAGTTATTGATGTTGATAATGGAATTATTTGTGAAAATGTACCTATTATTACTCCGAATGGCGATGTGGTGGTTTCCAGACTAAACTTCAAAGTAAGATGATATGCAAGAATCTTCTGATTGTTGCCATCACATTAACATAAACAGCACAGAATTCATGTACCTTATGTTAAGTACTTGGAGGAGCATATGGATAAAAGGGGAAGTCCAGAAAGGTAGGCATAGTAGCTCAATAGAGGCAGACATACATAGTTTATCCTGCTCAGAGAAAGAGAAGAGAGGATTTCTAGTGCTGTTGCCAGGTGAAAAACTGACCTGAGATTTTCAAAGGTGTATATGGGAGTCTGCATCCATGTTTACTTAAGTTCAGTGAAATTGGGATGCTTTACTCACATAGGCTCCTTTAAAAATCTGAGCAACAGTGAAAAAATTGAGTCTAGTTTTGCTTGTACCCCACTAAGAGCAGTACTAACGAATAGTTGACAGCCCAGTTGACAAGCCCAGCTGTGGAGTCTTTACTCATTAAAAACTCGTATTGTTTTTAAAAAGCTGTTCCAGATACCACTAGGTAGCTGCTCACAATTTTAATGGATGATTTTTACTGAATTACTGCCATATATATCCTGATCATATGTTTCAGTGCAGATGCTGTTATTTTTAAAAATTTTTGAAGTTATTAGAACTTTAAGATAAATCATTCCATCTGATCCTTTCATTTAGCAAAAGCAGAACATTCCTCTTGCCACCTCTGTTGGTGTAGGAATTAGAATCCAGGAGGACAGGATCCTAGCTATGGCAAAACTTGCAATGGCTTCAGTGCAGGAATTTCCAATTTGTAAAACTACAACTTTATGGTCAAGGAGACAGTTGCATTTATTCATTTGGCTCAAGAGACAAAACCAATAGAAAGTATAATGTAGCCAATGTATTTAATGTAAAGCACAGACATTGTGATTATGCATAAATATACACACATATATACAGAGGCTTAATATTCAAATGAGTAAAAACAAGTCCGTCACAGCTGAAATAACACTGGTATTTAAGTGAGAAAGGACAATGTGAAGTATGTTTTCCAAATCATTTGATCAGGCTCTCATAGTTTAAAGTAATACCACTGATGGGCATCGCACAGCTCTGCGTGCCACTAACACCTTTGGAGCTAATCTGCATTAGAATAATTGATTCTGACTGTGGTGTATTGACATTGTGACATCATCAGTGTAGTTTATAGAAATACTCAGACACTACAGAAATTATTTTTATTATCTTTGCCCATGTATTGTATCTAATGCCACTGTTTCCAAAATAGTTGCTGTATTAAATATGTATGGGTAATTAATGAAATGGGTCGATAATTTGGTACGAGTGCTCACATAACTCCCTCTGGGGGTCTTAGATTGGCATAGTAACATCTTCATTTTCTTTGCTATTGTAGGTCCAGGAGGGGATGAATCTTCTTATCACTGGACCCAATGGCTGTGGAAAGAGTTCGCTCTTCAGAATTTTGAGTGGTTTGTGGCCTGTGTATGAAGGAGTTCTCTACAAACCACCTCCACAGCACATGTTTTATATACCACAGAGGTATGTGTTTTGCACAAGGGATGCCTTTTTTCTGGTTGTGTGAATTTTGACCCGGATATGTGCAGACAAGTTAAAAGGTGGTAAGCACAGTCTCAGTTGTGTGGACAGTGATAAAAAAAGGATCCCTTCTTGTTGGTGATGCAAATCTTCAGTCATTGAAAAGGGCTCACATACAGTTGTGATGGAGCCTACGTGCCCCTGGTGGCTAAAGTCCTGGGTGATTTGGATCATTGGAACAGGCGAGAATCTGAAAGAAATTTGAAATAGACCTCACAGATCTTAATTCTGATTTCACTTTAAAACCAAAGATCAAAACATTTGTGAGTATCTTGGTTCCTAAATGTTGAATTGTTCAGAATTATTTTCAAAACATCAACTTTTACATTGCAGGACCAGAATCCCTCCCAATATTAACTGCACATTGCCTTTTTAATAATATGTGCTCCTGTCACTAAGGGAAACTTGTTTTTTTAGTGCTTTGTTTGTATTCTGGCTTGCTATTGGACTCTCAGAACATAGTTTAATGCAATTGATTCTGGAATATCTCCTTAGAGATATTCTAACTAGGTTGTTTTGCAAAAGCAAAATCAAACACTGAGAATCTTTGATTGTTTTCTGTAGTTCACTTGTTCCCATGGGCAAAAGAAGTATTCATGGTACATTTTGTAGTCTTGTTTAAAGGCTATTAAGTTGAATAGAAAATGCTAACTGGTACGTGGATTTTCCGTGCTGCAGGTGAAGGTAGCAAAATTTATCTATAATTTTTTCAAATGTGTATAATTTATTGCTAGCCATTGTAATTTTTCTGAGCCACTTGAGGGCTTTGTTCAGAAATTCAGATAAAAGTGCTTTGTTAAATGTTTTCCAAAACAATATTTCAGAATTCCCATTGTGTGGGACATTCTTAAAATTGGTTTTATTCTTAGGCAGAACAAAAGCTATTCTGATTCTTTTTCTTGTAGAAAATCTTGAGTTTCAGTCACTTCTGTCATCTGTGTGATCTCAGCCCCTTCTCAGATCAACATCTGAGGCTGGCTTGCCTACAACCCTTCCCTCTTATTTATGTCCCCTTTATTCTGTGAAAGCAAACAGACTTAGATTGCATTCAGGCAGATTTGCCAAGGTGCTGGTTGAGGGGATTAAATCCCGTCTGCGGGGTTTTGATTTCTATAAGCATGGTTCTTTGTTAGCTATTTCCCCTCACTTTGAAGTGCTGGGGGAGTTTATCAAGCAGACCTGTTCTTGGGAGCATATAAAAGCTTTTGGTGGGAAACTGAGATTCAGCCAATATCTCTGAAGTCCTCTGTGACCAGAGCCCTGTAGGGACTGGCATATCATCTTTGCAGTGTACTCTGAAGGTGTCACTCATACAGAGTCTGTTCTGATTGCATCAGTCAGGAGAAATGGTGCTGTCATGATGCCTTCAGGACACCTAAGTGATGTTGACATGACTTGGCTCTGTGGCTCTGTGTGAGCTCTGTGCTCCTGGGGTGTTTTTTAGGCAGTACAGAGCAGTGTGTGGGTAAATGGGGCAACACTGAATGACAGGGAGGGCTCTTCTGAAAAAGTGCTGCAACTTGACTGTCACTCAGCATTTTGAACTCTACTTTGGGGGACAGTCAGGTCTGTCAGTGTGGGTTCTGTAGGGTGGGAAGTGTGACCTGTGACTCATAAATGTTGTATTTGGAAAGAGGCTGTAAGACTGAGTCTTGTAGGGATTTGTGGGTGAACGTGGCTTAAGGGATTGGTATAGGACAGCAATCAATCAGATTTGTTTGTTTGAGCTGCTTTCATTTCATCATGTATATATTTCAGCATAGCTCTAGGGAAAAGTTATGTTCCAGACTGAGGGGATGTTATCACTTGGAAAAACCTGCCTCTGTCTTTCATTTGGTGGGTAGATGAAAACTGGTATAGCAGAAGGCTCTTGAATTGGTGGATGTCTGACAGAGCTGTGCATTAGAGTGACATCAGTGTGTTTAAGTGTATACTTTACATCCTGATGTAAGAACATGGGAGATGGCTCTATATGGGTGGACACAGTTACCACTGAGCCTGGTAAGAGCTTACTCCTGCCTGCCTGTGGCTGGATTTAATTCTGCATCAGCCTTCTTTGAGTCAAGTGTAGCAACCTTGTCTGCACACAGGGAATGGTGGAGAATACAGTGACTACTAAGTAACAAAATACTCCACAGTAAATAGGAGCTCACTGAAAAGATTATTTTTTCATCTCTGTAATGTTCCAGTATAGTATTCCAGAAATATGTGGGAAATTGTGTCTTTGCCAAGTTCAAAAGCTACACACAGAAGTATGATTTATTAAAAAGTGAGTTATCTCGTTTTATACTCCAGATTTCATCAGCAAATGCTTTGTAGTTAACTTTACTTAGTGGTATGTAGGTTTTAAAACAGAGCCTTGAGAGTCTCTATCATTTTATCTTTTTAGATTGCTTAGTGTCATTGTACTACTTTTTTTAGATTTTACTGCAAAGCATTCTGAGATGTTTGTTTTATCCCCTTACACAGGGCCAGGCCATGCAGTATTTGTCCTTAATCACAGTCCTGATGGATGCTGATGGGACAAACTGTCTTTGTAAAGGGTGGGGAGAGAGAAGCCCAGGCATTTCTGTGAGTGTGGCTCTGCTGCTGTCTGACAGGCCTGTAAAAGAGGTGAATGGGCAGAAAAGAGGGAGGCTTTAAGCACTCCAGCATCGTATTTGTGCCAGAAGCAGCTTGTTTCCAAGGACTGATCAGTGCTAGGAACTGGTCACAACTCAGTAAGTTGTCACATCTCAGTAGAGTCTCAGTAACTAGCAGAGTGTGTGCTCTTGTCCCTTTTACTTCTCTGTCCCTCCTTAGCAAAGTAAAATCCATTTGTGTTAACCACCTCTTTGCATTCCTCTAATTAACTGATCAAGAAGGTAACATGAATGAAAAAAGTAAATGCCTGTGGGTGCTCTAGCTAGCAAGGAATCATGATGCAAATCTGAATTCAGAAACATCATTTAAAATAATGAATAATTAACAAAAATATGTAGCGCGTAGCATGAGTACCAATGCTGAAGATATGGCCACAGGATGTATATGGAGCACTTAGGGAACTGAAGAAGCAATCAATCCTTTCATAGTGTGTCTGCTGTGTATCTGAAGGTAGTTTGATTTCTACAGATTGTGCCTTGTTCCTACTCTGTTGGTCATAAACATGGGAGGAGACTCCATCTCTTTGGAATTAGTATGCTCTGGCATACAATTCCTCCTAACGTTTACTCCAGCTCTTGTTCTCCAGCTATGAGTCTCAGCTCTTCCTGTTGTAAGGAAACAGATTCTGCACATTGCCTCTCATCTCCTTAGTTCTCCCTGCTTTGATACGAATGCCAGCA